CCCCCTCTTTTTGCAGTCTTCACAAAGCGCGGTTGGATCCAAGTTGTGTGGATTCGTAGTCTCTATCGATTTTTGCTACGAATTCAATTTCATTCCAGTAAGTACCGCGGTAATATTCTGCATTTTTCTCTGTTCGCTATTGATTTACCAAATTTTACGAAAATTTTTGCATAAACAATTTCCTAAAAATGCCTGCGTTTGATGCCGGTTTCCTAGGTTTTATAATCTTTGGAGATTTTTTTTCTTTTTTTATTTGGTTTGATCGTTAGCTTCCCAAAGTTTGATTGATTTAAGAACGTAAATCTTTGTACTGATCCTTAAGCGCACTTCGGTTTGGTTTCTTATTCACTATCAGTTATTGAATTCTATGATGATTCTTGAAATCGGATTTATTTTCTACATTTTCCTCGAGAAATCTTTATGTTGCTTGAAATTTGTCAAGTCATCGTGCTTAATGAAAATTTGTCCTGGTTGACATGTTTCTAGGCCTATTTTGGAACTCGTCCTGCTTCTAGATCCATGTCAATGCCTAATGAGGAACATGCGTCTTCGCATACCCAGGTAGCTTTCTTTTTATATTTTTTCTCCTTGTTCTTATTTGCATTTAGCACCATAGTATTTGAAGAATGAGAAATGTAGGTTACATTTACAATGGCTTTGTTTATGGTGTAGAACCAAATCTTGAATTATTATTGATATGGAATATGTATGTTACAAGAGAGCAATGATTTGTATAACAGTCTGACCGGTTACTAACCACAAATAACTTACCCAACCGGCAACCGGTAAGCTATCTTTCACAGATTTCCCCTACATCAGTTTGATGACACTCAGACCAAATTGTTTGCTCGAAATGAAGAAAGAGCCTGAACTCCATTTTCATTATCTGTGAGTTTCAATCTGCACCAGAGCATTTCTTGAGGAATAGGCAGAGAGTTTAATTTTGGTGTCTGTGAAAATAGATTAGAATTACTTCAATTAAAAAAAAGGGAAAAAGATTAGGATTTCTAATATTTTACTTATTTACTCTTTGCAGCAGAGTTTCTTTATCGTTGTTAGTATGTTCCAGAAATAGAATTATAAAAAATCCGAAATCGTGTGTGTACAACTATGAAGCTGAACACTTCAATTTGGGTAATGTCTCCATGTCCGATACATGTTGGATGCTTAGACACTTGTGGAAATGTGTTGGACACTTGTTAAGCACAATAAGCATGCATTGAACATTCATGAGCATTACCAAAGTAAAATTCATATAAATGCATAAGGATTATTGACTACATTTCCTTTTCATTAATATGTTAAATCATTTAGAAAATTGATTAGTTGCTACCTGGTTTAGAACTATTTTGAATATTTTTACACGAAACTATCATAAATGCATAAGCATCCTAAACTAATACAAATTTTTTGAACATGAGAATCATTAAAATGTATAGAAGTAATATGTATATAAAAAAATGTATATTATAATAAATGTGTCCTTCTCATGCCTATGTCCTAGATTTTTAGATCTTAATATGTCACGCTTCTGGCCTGTGCTCTGTGTGTACAATATATGATATTTCTCCTGAGATTTTGCTAGGAAGAGTGAGGTACATCCGACTAGATTTGTTGAAAGATCTTTTTAGCAGTGGTTTCTCAGCACCCAAACCAACATGTCAAACTCAATGAATTATTCGAAAGCTCCGTCTAACTATTTTTATATATGAGAAAAGGCTTAGTCTAACTATGGGTAATGCGTGAAACTTGCCATGAAAACTCAAGTATGGTAGTATAGTAATCAGTAGTCACTTTTGACTTCCTTATGAGAGGAGGACACAGAACTAATAGAAATGGTACTTCTGTTGCTTTCCACTTTATATTTGCAGCTTTCATCTAATTTCTTTGGGGATCTCCTGGATTCCGTGATTGTTGATGTTGCATCGGAGTGTCATCGAATAGCAAGGTTAGGTCTTGATCGAAACTTAGAAGAGGAAGAAGAAGAATTAAGACTTTCAGCACAGGCACGAGTAAGAGTAGCTGATTCTAGCAATAGTAGTGAAGCAAACGGCAAATATATAGTTGATATTTTTGGACAAACTCACCCTTCTGTTGCGAATGAAATATTTGATTGTATGAATTGTGGTCGATCAATCATGGCTGGGAGATTTGCCCCTCATTTAGAGAAGTGCATGGGAAGGGTAACTCTCTGTCCCTTGATTGATACATGTTTTTGCATACAAATTCTGCTTCTATTTTGTTAAATCTCGTTTAAATTCGTCTCATCAACTCTCTAACTCTACTATAGGGTAGAAAGGCTCGTCTCAAAGTAACAAGAAGTAGTACAGCTGCACAGGGCCGGTATTCTCGAGGCAGTCCTGTTCCTGCATATTCCCCTTACACTAGTTCCCCTGGCGCAAACCGGTTACCTAATGGAATGTCCGGTGTTGCAGGCGAGGAGTACTCAAACGGTACATCCGAAGACCCATGAACAACAAAGCAATGACCGAATTATTTCATTTTAGGAAAACATACTGTAATCTAAATTTGCTTGCAGGAATCTGATGATATCTCCTGTCATGTTGAGTTTTATATTACATGACTTCTTTGTATGGGTTATCATTACATGGGAAGAATATGTCTGGAATCTGGATGTATTATGAGTTCATTACTTTTCTACTGTTCTAAATTTTGATGCTGAAGATCTTGTACAGAAGAAGTGCAAAAGGAAGTTAAAAATGCTAAATCTAGTTGCATATCTTCAATCTTGAAATGTAATTAGAAAGTCTGAGTTATTCTTCATGGCAACATACCTAAAGGATTCGTATTATATGATTTTTCTTCAATATTTCAAATATTGAAAGATTAAGTAGTTCTTATGGATCAGTTAGAAGTCGCTCTATCACCAAATATTTCAAATATTGTAATTTGTTTCCATAAAACTCCGAGTCTTTGTCATATTAGATTCTCTGGAAGGGGCCACAAAGATTATAAAGGTAGTTTAAACTCTTGCTGCGTTTATTGTCTGACAGTTCCCAAGATATTCAGCTCTTTTGCTAGAAATTCTTTTAACAATTTTATGAAGGCAAATTGCAGGAAGGTGGTCCAAAAGGTTGCCCAATCTATGCTCAACCACTGAAAAATAGAATGTTAGTTAAGTCTGCATCAGTGGTCTCCACGCTCCACTTCCATTTGCTCAAAGATTTCAAGTCTGATTACAGGGACCATAGCGCAGTGCTTGGAAGCTTATGAGACCTGAATGGCTGATTTCTTCTATGTGGAAATTGAACAAGAATTGTGCTCAGATACGTCTCTCTCACACAAACCATTCTTATTTCTGGCATGTAATTGTTTTTAATTTTCGACTGCCAAACTTTTCAATTCTTAGGCTAATAGCAAAGAAAGTGTTTGATAATGGCTTCCATAAACTTACCCACTTGTGTTTAGATGTATGAGAGAAATTGCAAAATACTTTTGATTATTCATCCAAGTGTCATAAAAGTGGCGGCTCCCCCAAACATATTTTCAAAAACGGGAGCTTAAATACAAGTTCTAATGATTAATTTCTTTAATTGATATAAACCACAAATTCACCACTAATGAAGTGCAGGTGCTCCACTTAGCAAAAGTAGTTTCTTTGGGAGATTTGGAGGAAAAAAGGGTCCTCTATCTGCGCTTCTCTCTCTCTCGAATTAGCAGGATTAAACACATCATCAAACACCAAAGGTATCATCATTATCTTCATTTTAATCATGATTAGAAACTTTATGAAGTCCTTATAGCTATTGGCACACATGCTCTCATTTGAAAAGGTTATCATGAGCACTAACTAAAAAGCGGGAAGTGGATTTCCTTCCTTGGCAGGAACACAAAGTAATTCATTATGCACAAACTTCACTCTCTTTCTGCTTTTGTTTCATTTTCTATTTTGGCTTTGCTCCAATATATTATAAACCCTATTTTCATATTAGTTTTTAGATATTATATGCTAGAGGTCACTTTTTGCTTGGATCTCTAAAAAATATATATAGTTAGAGGATTAAATTAATAACGTACATGAAATTGATATTCTCCTTGTAATGTAACGAATAACAATGTGTAATGTAACAAATAACAATATGAAATAAACTATGCTACTTTTGAGAGTGTTGGTGTATATTTTTTCTGATCAGTATATATGATTAAGGACAGAACATCTTCAATCTTTGAGGTTTGAATTTGTCTCTTTTTGATCTCCGAAGTTAAAAAAATGATATTTTTGTCCTTGAAATTTGGACGTAGTTTCTATTTGGTACTTGAGATTTTAAAACTAACACTTTTGGTCATTGGGGTCTAAGTTTTGTTTCTACTTTGAGGCTTCAAAAGTGACACTTGTGGTCTTGATGATTTGGTTTTTCTTTGATGCTTGAGTTGAGTTGAGGTTAGATATGCTGACTTGGATCATTTAACCTATGTGTCACTATTGTTGGGTCCGTCGTTCTCAACTCAATTGAATATGTTCCAAGAAAAGTCGATGGACTTGCCGCCGACCAAGAATTTCTCATTCCCTACAAATTTTATTGAGAATATTAACTGACACGTCATCTCCTTGGCAAGTCAACTAATGATCCACAAACTTGGTAGACTAATAGCAATTAAATTCAAATCTCAACGACGAATTAAAAATGTCGCTTTTGAAGTGTCGTTTTTAAAGCTTAGAAACCAAATAGAAGCAAACTTAAAATCTCAAGTATCAAAAGTTTAGTTTTGGAATTGTAGGGATAAAATTAAAACTAAATCCATACCTCAAGGATTAAAAGTATAGTTTTAAACATTAGAGACCAAATAGAAATCAAGTACAAACATCGAATCTCGTTTGGCCTCGGATAATTAGAAAGCATTTTTTCTTCATGCTTGTAACATATTAAATTATTTATAGTCCTCGACATTATTTCTAATATTTGTTCGCATTCTAAATTATCTAAAATCAAATTATTGTTGTCTATTTGGTGGGTCTTGGCATTGTATCTCTCAAACAAACTTATCAAGTCTTCTTCAAAACTGAACTTTTTTGTTGCTCTACAGTACGTAGGTTGAAATTTATATGATCCATTGATTATTTTCCTTTAAATTTTAGAATTCCTCCATACTTTATGAACTTCCCGTTAGATTCAACCTAGATCTCGAGTTTTTAGAGACACATCATACTTCCACTCAAGTCGAGATCACTCCAAAATGTGATCAATTTTTTGTTCAAGGATAGAAAAACTTGGTTTCATGTAGTTACTATAGTTTCTTTGGCCTTTCTCTCTACTTTGTTTATTATGAACAGCTCCAACGGAAACTATGAGCATGAAGAAGCAGCACAGAAAACAAGATGAAATTATTCTCAAAATCTCTTTTTTTTTTTTTCTTTTTTTTTCCAGTGTGAATGGGATGCTGAGTATGATAGTTTTTACTGAGTGGCAGAGAGGAAAGAGAGAAAGAAAGGAAGAAAAAGGGTAGGAGCCAGGTGGAATAATAAAGAAAGGACCACCTTTCACCTTTGGGCTGATGATTGAGTTGTCCCGAAAAGTATTATTATTTAGAGTTGCAGAGGACACTGCGAAGGTGGCTCCTAATTAGGGAAATCTTTCAAGATTTTTTGTCACCGTTGTGAAAGTTACAACATAAAAGCTCCCACCACTCGACTCAACATGGATTTCTGGATATAGACTTATCTAAGCTACATTTACACATGAGGTGGGGTTTAAATCCCTCTCCCAACACTTTCCCCCAACCCTCTTTTAAAGTTACACTTTCACTTTTCAACCCAATTATCTTTCCCACGCCATCCACCATTAATTCTCTCTCGAATAAGATCCCTATTTACTCACTCGTGTGTAGCCTAGTTATTTCCATTTGTAGAAAAAAAGGATCATCTTAATTACAGTAAGTTAGGTTTAAATCTTAATTCATATAATATCGTTGTTTGGTTCTTTCCTTTATGGTCCTCTCCTTCATTGAACAAAATTCTTAAAACACAATTAGGTAAGGTAAGTAAGAGTTTTTAGGGGCAAATTCAAAAGTCAACTCATTTTATTATTGGTGTATATATGATGATATGTACATAAAAGGTGAGATTTTTTGGAGAAGAGAAGGGATTAAGTAATTGATATATGTTGGATTCTTGCTGCGTTTTGTGATTAAGTAATTAAGTTTGGATTTATTATTGATATTGATATGATTTTGATATTCTCATACCTCTCTTGGGTCTACAAAAAGGGCTGGTCTTGTAGTTGGTGGGGTTTTTGTCAACTCATGGAGGCTATTTCTTGCTTCTTTCTTCAATGCCTTTATGCACCATAAATCTTCAGGGCATGACAGCAATTTCCAATGTGGAATCTCTTCTCTCAGTGCGTCTTCTCCTCCAATCTCTGTAACTATCACTTTACAGTCCCTTGCCTCCGCCGCCATGTTGTGCACGTGCTGGCACAGTGCCCTCACCAGCTTCCCTGATGTCGATGCTGCCCCCTCCCGGTGAACCCCATACATGAAGTAGAATCCGAACGGCTCGTAGAAGTCCGGTATTGAGGGAAGTTTCAGACATGGGAAGATCTTGTCCATCACCTTCGAGCTCTCTGTGTATATCAAGCATGACAATGGTGCCTTTCCCAATCGCAGTTTGAACACCTGGATTGACAAAAGATTAAAGTTATCATACCCTACTAACTTAAGCTTATGTGATTAATTGTTAAGTGGTGGTTTAATCTACCTCCCCACTATTCCATACACTCAGCATTGCCCAGCTCTTTGGAATTGCCATTTCTGATCCGCTGCCAGTTGTTTCGAATTTATCGTCTTTGTAATAAGCCACCCATGTTCCAAGGCTGAGCTTGTGTTTGAGCACGCGGTCGATGTCATGGGGAAAGAACTCGGTGGAGGCCATGTATTTTCCGTAGAGAAACTCGGCCACATCGACTTTCAGGCGGGAAATTTGGATGTTGGAAGGGAGGTTATAAGGGCGGTAATGTTTCACCGGGTTGACGAGGATCGCCGGAACTCTAAAATTGGTGTACCCGAGCTTGTTGATGAAGAGCTTGACGGAGGCTTCATTGTCTTTCTCTGTCGCCATATAGGTGTAGTCCACGTCGTTGGCAGCAAACCACTCCTCCAATCGTCGGACAAGGCTGCAGCCAATCCCTCGGCGGCGGAACATCGGAACAACGCGAAGGCCTAAAACATACCCAACCTTGGCCCGGCCCTTGGGCGCTTGGTGAACCGTAACGATCTTTATCGAGCCCTGAATTACTCCAACTATTTGGTTATCCACCTCTGCCACCTAATGAAAACGAACTCAAAAGAGTTAAGTTGATAGGTTAGGGTATATTTAACACGTAACGGATGGCAAGAGGAAGAGGAATACCAGCATCTTGTATAAGGGACTATTTCTGATCCTACAAATGGGGTCACCCATGGTGTCTGTGAAGAGAAAAACTCGTTCAGATGGGCCTACCTCGCATCTTCTCTCTAGATCTTCCACTCTAGCTCTATCTGCAGATTGCCCATCGTAGCTTCTTATTATCAAAATCTCTTCTCCGTATCCCATTTCTTTAAAAGAAAAATCTCCCCACTTTTCGTGGGAAACAAACAGAAAAAACAGAAAAGAAGAAAAAAAAAAAAACAGCAGTTCTCTAGCTATTACATATATATACACACACTGCAAGTTCAATCAACCCTTTTAAAGGTATATTGCTAGCAGCTAGCTACTTAGCTTTCTCTTTTGTGGAGGGGGAAAAAAACTTGGGGGGCTTGGAAATTTTGGAGTCTGATGATTGGCATTTTATACCAAAATTTGGTGGGGTTCCATTTGTGGGATCCTTCTCTTTCTCTCTCTCTCTCATTTTTTTCTCTCTCTCTCTCATCAGACAGCAACATATTTATTACAGAAAAAAAAAAAACACAAGAGTGAGGGGGTTCCAAATTCAGACAGATTTATTGATTGAATTTGTGATTTTTGTTTTGTAAGGTTTGCCATTTTTGAAGCAAATTAATGAGGTTTGTACAACGTTAGGATAACCTCAGCCTCACGCCATGGAGCACCCCTCAAGAATATGTTATTCTCGTGTCTCTTATTCATTGGTTAAAGCCTTAATTTTTATTATTTTTTTTATGTCTCTTTGTGATAATAATAGTATTGTTTTTCATCGTGTTTCATAGTCCAGATTAAAAAAATAATAATAAATAAAATAAAATCCTGTTCTCTTTTCTTCTCTCGTGTGGATGTAATGTAAACTACTTAAGAATCTAATCATGGGTTTAATATAACAAATTTTATATTAAAAGAATTTGGTTTTTTGGATCCATCTCTCGTTTGTCGCCACTTGCCGGCAGGAAAAAGAGAAAAACCAGTCTCTCTCCCCATCGTGGCCTAAAATTTAGTGCATGATTTTTGTAAGCAAAGTGCTTGTGGATTAATTAGTTTTCTTTAATTAATGCCTTCTTTTTTTTCAGGACAAGTGGGGTGAGACCTTCAGGTTAGAAACAAGTATCAACCCTGATTGAGCTAAATTCATGTTGATTTAATTAGTGTCTTATTTAATTAAGTAAATATCATTATTTTCGTAGATGAGCATAATTCAATTATATCATTAAATTTTAGATTATGCTTCAATTTAGACATTGCATATTCTTAATATCTATCCACCTTTTACAATATCAAGTAAATTTGATAGTATATTGACAAAATAGACACAATACTTAGAGATGGTAACAGTCTGTCAAGATGAGGAATTGAACTCTCAAGCTTAACCAGAAAGTTTAGTGAAAAAGTTTATAATTGGGGTATTTGGATGGAGGGTGAAGTCTCTTTCTTGGATTTGTTTGTATGTATGAACATGGGTGTGAGGCTTTAAGTGGTCCTTTTATCTTTTCTCTCTCCTTTTATACACACAATAAAATTAGATTCGAAAATGAAAGTGAAGCCCCACTAAAACCCATGCCTATATCTTTCTCTCTAATTCTTTGTTATATATAATTCGAATGGAATATGTATATTTGTGGTAAATATTGATACAATATACTCTTTGTAGGGCTTTTGGAGCGTGCGCCATCTAACCACATGCGACAAATCAGTAAGTATCACACAATCCATTATGCTTTATATTATAACACTCACTAAAAACCCATTATTTATCTCTTATGTGTGGATATATATTAAGAAAAGATAGGAAAAATATGCAAAATCATTGCCCAAACTAAGGAGGTTCATTTAATGCGATGGAGCCCCGTGGGTACCTGCCTAAACGGGACGTAAAATCCCCATTTAAATTTCCTATAGGGCAGGATGGGATGAGGAAAACTTTTTTCCCATCACCTAAACGGGAAAAAAATACCCACGAGGAAACGCGATCCCTATAAATTCTCCATGGAGAGTCTCCACCCAATTCCCGCAAAATTTTGTGGGATGAGAAATGAAATGGGGTGGGGATGGGGAAGCCTTCCCTGTCCCTATCTTGCCCCACGAACATCCTAGTCCAAACTATATCCATTGTTACAATTGCACTCTTACCACTTATAATTTGAAAAATATATCCTTAAATTTATGATACTGTTGCAATTAAACTCTACCGTTGCAAGTAAATCTAATAATGCAACTTTAAGAAATAACCGCTCAAATTAAAAATTTCAAGATGGGGTTGTAACAAATTTTTTAGAAGGAGAGCAGAGGGACGGTTAAAAGCTTAAAGTTTATGAATACTTTAAAATTCAAATTTCATCTTATTTACTTAGATATCTTCGATGATATGTACGTGTTTTTATTGAGTAGAATATTTACCATACACGTAAGTTTGGTGGGGCTAAATTTTCTTGTAAAAGATTAAATCTCTTTACAAGTTTCTCTTTTCTCTTATATATTTTGGCAGCTAAAGAAAACAATACCATATATTGGTTGTAGCAAAAAGACGTATTGAACTGTCCCATTCTTACTATGAACCTAGCTAGATGCCTTTACTATCTACCTTAAAAGTCAACTTAATGAGTTGTAATGTATCAAAACAATTTGCCCACCTCTCTGTTAGGATCATTTACAAAAAATAGGACACAATAAGAACTTACTTTGGCCTATCCTTTGGTTTTATTTATAAACATCGAGTCTTATCTAAATATCTATAGGCGTAAGTGGGTTGGTTCTGTTTGATTTCGTTTTGGCTAAACTATGCCAAATTGAAATATATATAGATTTAAAAAAGCATCCTTGCCGGTGTGAAAATTTAATTGATCACCCAAAAATATGATCAATTTTTTTGTTTTTTATGCAAAGTAACAGCTCAATTGACAAGAGTTTGGAGTCTTTTAGTCATATTGGCTTTGAGCTCTCTTAGTCATACTGTCTTTTTGAGGTCTTAAGTTCGAACATTTTGGTGAGCTTAACGCCAAAAAATCCTTGATGTCTCTAAGGTTCGGGTCTTGGGGCGGACGCGGGTGCCCCTGAATATAGGGGAGCAAAGCTCCGACTCCTAGTTCTTAAGGAAAAAAAATTGAACCGATTGTTACTTGTTATTAGAATTGATTTTGAATTTGATTTCTCGATGTTTTATTTATTTATTTATTTTTCATTTGAGCCTTTTCAGCCCTAATATATTCTGGTAATTTTGTCTGTTAAAGAGATTTTTCTAATTTGTTATTTTTAGAATGATACGGAATTGAAGCTCTTTTAGCTCTTTATTATAGCTAGGGGCTTGTGCCTGCCCAGTTTGGAACCGAGAGACATCAAAGATTTTCGTATTAAGTTTACAGGTTTAAATTTGAGACCATTAAGTCACTAGACCAGGATACCATTATTATATAATATTTTTAAAATTGGTTTAAACCAATCATATATATATATATATATATTAATTAATTATGTAGGGCACATAATGAAAATTTTGACTTTGACTTTAGAATCATACAAAGTTTCTTTAGTTCCCAACAAGCTTAACCTCTAAGCTTAATTATCTCATTTATCTCAAGTAGTTGACAAAAAATGTTAGTTAAACCCTTAGACTTCAATATCAAATTAGTCTCATTCGGTTATGACTTTTCCCCTAAAATTCATCTTCTAAGTTGGACAAAGACATGTGTTTAGGATAAACTCCAATCCAACAAAATCTTAGGTGGGATATAAAGCTATCATTCTCACATTCATACATATTCTCAATCGCCGAGAGTATACCTCAAATGAAATTTACCATATCGTAATATAACTTAAATATTTGAATCTTGTCGTGGTATGATTTTAAACAAACAACGAGATGATGTGATTGTATGCACCTCAACTCGGTTAGATCTGAGGTAGAAATAATGTCGAACGCAAGTGTTGTTGTAGACAAAAGGTGTTGGGCATAAAGCTTTGTGTTTGCCAAATACACTCCAACATACCTAAGTTAGCATGGATTTAAAATTTGGCAAAGTTTTAATATGGTAAGAGAACTTCTTTCGTATCTTCTTAAATTTGGAAGTGGTCGGTCCTTCGTATGGCTAACTTTCACCTAGGTAGCTGAAAGCTTGTAGGATGGGACACGCAATCAATCATATCATCTAGTGTCAAGACACACTGCAAGAACTTTAAGCTATCACAGTAAAATTTTTCCTTGACGCAGAGGAGTTTCATTGGCATAGAACACTTTTGCTAATAAAATTTGAATATTTTTACAACACTCTCGACGAAAATTGAATCCGACGACAAAACACTTGACGAAATAGGAATTTTGTTGGAAAACATGTTGATGCAACCAGATTTCATCGGCTAAAGTGATCTACGCCAACAAAATTGTGATGCATTGGGAAAGAAAGTTTAGCCATGCCCCTCCACTTGGTGGGAAACAATTGAGACAAAATTTTGGGTTATGCCAACGAYGGGAATTATGTATCAGACCTCTAGGTTTCTTCTAAAATTTTTGTATCCATTAGGGTTTTGAAAGCCTAGTATACGAGTTCAAGTTAATTGAGTGGTATTTTCTTTCAGAGAGTATTTTTTATAATTTGGGTCGTGGAGATAAATCTGTGTGATTGTAATAATTTTTTCACATAATGGATTTTTCTCTATAGGTGCGGTTTTTCTCCGATTTGGAGTTTTCCATGTGAATTGTTGTGTTTTCTTTATTGTTGTTATTTTTTTTTTAAATTTCTCAGTTATTTTCTACTTATTCGTACGGTAAAAGTAGGGTTTTTTTTTATCATCAAGTGGTATCAGATCTTTAGGTTTGTAGTTTCTTGACTTTCTAAGTATGCTCTGTGGTTGCAACATTATCTGAATTTCTACATCAAAAAAGATTTTTTGAAACAAGCTACGGTTTTGTGAATAGTGTGGGTTGTTAACTATTTCATGATTCGCTAGGAGTGTGAAGCAGATATGTCATTCTTTATGAGTCCAGTAAAGATTAACGTGGAGAAATTTGACGGAAGAATCAACTTCAACTTGTGGCAAGTGCAAGTCAAGGATGTGTTGATACAATCTAGGTTACACAAGGCGTTGAAGAGAAGATTGAGTGAAGGTGCCTCTGAAAAGCTAAGCTGTGATGGTGGTCCAGTAGAGTCCAACGGTGGTTCCAGAAGAGGTTCTAAGAAATCCAGCATGAGTGATGAAGATCGAGAGGAGATGCAAGCATGATACGAATAAGTTTCGCTAAGAATGTCCTTGCAAACGTGCATGGAATTTTGATTGCCAAATAAATTTGGAGAAACTTGAAGCGTTGTAGGCATCTCAAATCAGTTGTACCTGATTGAGCAGTTTCATAGGCTGCGAATGAATGAAGGTACAAAAATTTCAGATGATCTAA